TGAACAAAGAATAGTAACACCTCGCGTTTGCTCAACAAAAATACGAAGAAAATCACTTGATCAATGCCGAGGTTAATAGATTTGAGACTTAAATTCATTTTTTTGGTTTTGTTGTTATCATTTCTTCAGGAAGTAGTACAATCGATGAAAAAGGCCATGAGAGGCGAACAAGCTGGTTTGCTTTCTGCGTTAGCGCTACCAAATTTCGTGCATGAAGTGGGTAACACGGAGAAGCCGATGCTGAAAAGCTCTCGTGAGCATCCTTTCAAAGTCTTTTCTAACCATTATAGATAACTCAAAAGACCGCCTTCATGCAAACTGTGGCATAAATTGTGGATCTGTTTATTCTTGTCTTTATGATCTGATCTTGTTGAGCTGTTGCGAGATCGATATAAGCTGTCGTTGTTGTTGCTGTTGGAGTGGAGTGCCACTCTTAGCAGCACTACTCTGAGGAAAGCGAAATCGCCGAAACGTCAGCCATCGAACAACAACAGCAAAAACTACAATGACGACAGAAACAACAACAACTTATACCTACCTTGCATCTGCTCAACAAGATCAGTTTATAAGGACATATTATAGATAATTTCAGTTTCTTAAATTTCAGTATTTTTGCCAATATTATAGCCCATTACGTTTACCATTGCATAGAAGTAAACCACTTTTTCTTCATAAATATCACGGATATATGTTTTTTAGGTCATCAGCAGTATCTTTCGGAAAAGGGTCGTTTGCATGTTGATGAGAAAGTTGGGGTTGTTCATCTAATTGGATATCCAGTGCTTATGCAAAACAGCGTGAAGTTTGTTTTATAACAGTTCGATAGTCTCAGTGCCTTAGCCTAACCCGTCTACAACATTTTAGATCACAACTTCTGGACATGTTCTCTTATGCGATTTTAGTTTCACCATCATGTTTTGTTCGTGCTGCCATACTCGAAGCTGTCAATGTTCCACTGGATGAATGTATACGTTTTAGTGATGGATCCGAAACGTTTCCTGCGACATTCTTAGGTTTTTGCTTTCTATTTTACTCTGTTTCCTTATTCTTTTTTCTTTTTTTCTTTTTGAATTTCGATGTTTTACAGTTGGACATTCTCTCCATTCTCTTGTTTCATTGTTTTTGCGTAGCCGATTTTCGAGTCAAAGCAACACTTGGCCAATCACCGTTCACACTGCTGGAGTTGCATACTACAATAAAGTCGTGCCATTGTTTTTTCGCGAGTGCTTTCGTAATACGGTCAGAATCGTACTTTGTTTTTTCAGAAGGGAATCGTTGATCTAGCTCACTCTCGACAACGCCTCAAACATTGTGTTTTAGCATTGGCCAACAGCGATAAACAAATGGATGGGTTTGTATCCGAATGTGCAGCAAAAATCAGTTCGTTGATGCTTACGTTGGTTTGCTTTTGGTTTTCTTTTACTACGATTTATCAGTACCATTTAGAAGCACTGTTATGCGATGATTTAATGCTTGACGTGAAGAATCGTTTTGTTCTTGGAAAGGAGTTGGGCAACTACGAATCTCAAGCAGTGGTTTTTGAGGAAGGTGGACTGGAATTGGCTCGGGTGAGAAGTTATCCTGTTTTGAAGTTTTTTTATACATGTTGTAAAGATACCTCCCAACAGTTTCTCGCCTCATTGTAGCCGAGAGGTGCTCCTGGATGTCGGGCTGCGATGAACATTGGGGGGATTTATCACCCCGGCATGGTCTCCCAAGCTGAGAACGAGTGCGGCGTTTCCATCAGTAAGCCCAGCTAAGAGTAAAGCAATGCCAGGATCCACTACCGTCCTAAAATCAAACTAGTCGCATGATGGCAAGTTTCTCTCTGATCCACAAGAACGGCGACTGCCTTTGGTGGTGATAACCTGGGGTAGACTTTCGTCTAGGTGACTCGGGACTTCAGGGAATCACAATGGATAAACCGGCAAAACTCCGAAAAAGTGGAGAACATGCTGTGGCTGGAACAACCAGTGAAGACGGGCCATCCAAGCATCCAAATATTGTGAAAATGAAATCTCGCCTCTCTTCAGTTATATAATTTACAAAAGGCGATAGGCAGTTTTGAATGTGAAAATTGCTCTTTTATGGTATGTTCAGGTATCTCGAATTGGTGATTACATTGCTCGTCGTCTTAATATAACAGTGGATTCTGGAGAGTTTGTCCGAATGGCATACATGGAAACAGACGTTGATCGCATAATTGTTCGATTGATTGATCGTTTGATTGAAGGAAAAGATATACCTAAAAGTCTTTTAAATTTAGTACGCGTAGACAATTTCGTGTAAATAATGTTTTGGATAACTGTCATTGTACTCACTTCAGCTTTCCAAGTTTGCTCTTCTGAGTTTTAGACTCCCATACGGATTCCGAACTCACTTTAGTTAATTCTTCCGTCTATGTTTATGTGATTTATACTTTGTTCATTCAGTTTTACGTTAGACTAAAGATATCTCCTACTTCGGAATGGGTCTTCATAATTTGAAACATCATAGTTTTTTGATCATTTTTAGAAGTTCACGGGCATCGTACTTTTCTTCAAATTCTTCTTCTTCGATTTTCTACCATTTTCTTAACAAGGTTCTACTTTCATAATTTCTCGTCGAGCAATATTTTTGGAAAATGTCCTCTCCTGTTCGGCCGGTAAATAGGTTACACTAGGACGTCAGGATTCTTATCGGTTGAAATAGCCTAAAAACCTCGAGGAGATACGGTAATGATAAGATTACAAGAGAAATAACTAGTTACGAGAGCGATTATAATTAGGTGTTGTATTAGATTGATATGAACCTTATCAGCGCGAAGAGCATAGAGGTCTTGAGAAGATACAGCAATGGTAGGATTAGAAGAGAACGGACGCATTATGAAACCGATTCCTTCGTTCGCTAATGTATTCCTTCAAGAGAATGATGTCATCGGTAATAATAATGTCCGCAAAGAAATTTGCGCACCCTATGAATCCTTCGGTGTAGAGTTTCCATCGTTACTCGGCTCGGTCCAACTGTTTCTGATTTGCTCCTGGACGAACTGAGATTCCACTGCATGCATACTGTGACCTATTTCGACGTATTGAGTTCTCTAAGGAGTCCTCGATATTTGTTTGCAAATTTTTGTGGTACTGCCGGATCTTTCATGGAATCCAGTGGTTCCGCTTCTAGAAGATCGATCTATGGAAGTGGTTTGTAAAGTTCATGATAACGTCTACAGTTGTCATTTCTTGGTCCATAAATTGTTTCTATTTGTGAACACGAACTGGCTAACATGAGCTAAATGTCCGCTCGTCTTGTTGATGATGTTAAGTGCAAAGAAAAAACTCTCGGCGTTACGCATTCCTTGAGGGGTGCACCATGCATTCGACTCCATTTGTAGCACCGATAGGGATGAATACATATCTGGTCTCTGGCTTACGATGGCCCACCGATTTGTCAAATCAGTGCTGCTATACACCCAGATAAGTGTGGTACCAATTTCCCGACCACGGAGTGGTGAGAGATTCATGAACTTGAGAGGCAGGTTTGAATTAACAATCACGTGCGTGTTGTAGGCCATATCTAACCACTGCACCACACGGACTATACGATGTCAAGTGTACCAGTTGTAGTTTAGAAGCCATTGTTCAATCACTATTTGGATCTTGCACGAAGTTCTTATCGTGGTTGAAGTGTTGAACGGCAAGAAAATACTGGACAATCAAGTATAGACGGTCTCCTTCTGCTCCACCGTTGGATGATACTTCTATAACAATCGATGATTACTCCATTTCCGAAGGGAGATGAAACGGAGGATAGTGTATTCAGGACAAGTTGACATCCCAGTTATGATTGTGAAGAACGAAATGCTAACTCCTGTCTTACTCGTCTTCAACAAAATTTACCATAAATCAACTAAACACTCAGTCAACAAGGATGAGTAGAATCTCCTCGCTACGAAGTAGATGCTTCATCTCTAGACCTAGCCTAATTTTACTTTATCAAATGTAGGTACTGTAGAATATCATTCAGTAATGTTAATAGTTTTCTGACGTATAGGTTCACTTACCTCCCAACGGTTCACCGCCCCTTCGTGGCTGGGAAGGTGTTCCTGGGTGTCGGATTTCGATCTACAACGGGGTTTCATCTTCTTGGCAGGGTTTCCGAAACTTGAAAGGAGTCCAGGGTTTTCATAGGGGAGCCCAGCTAAGAGTAGACCAATACCAGGATCCACTACCGTCGTGGTATCAAACTAACCACATGGTGGGAAATCTTCCTCTGATCCACAAGGGTGGTGACTGCCTGTTGTGGTGACAACCTGGCGCAGAGTTTGGCCAAGCTGACCTTAGGACTCCAGGGAAACGCAATGGCTAAACCAGCAAAACTACAAAAAATGGAGAATATGCTGCGGCCCGCACAACCAGTGAGGTCGGACCATCCAACTGGAGTTCTACCGCTAGTTTACTTTTGGCAGGCTCTATTGCTTGAGAATTGTCGAACTCCTTAACGGCTTGGATGAATCAATCCAAAAATTCGCTAAATCTTGTTGTAGATCGTAATTAAATCCAACTCTTGCAATAGTAATGAAATAACTTTTTATAGTTCCCAGGATCGACTTTCTCTTAACCTCGGCATTGGAATATGAATGTGTCGTTTTCTTGTTCAGCAATCGCGAGGTTTTTAAACAGCATACATTTACTTCCATAGAAAAACACAATACAATACAACGGTAGCTCACGTTTCGGTAGTATCGCCTTCTTCAGAGCCGCTTTTTCGTGACTTCCAATGACGAAGTTTAGAACAGCTGGTTATAGTCGCATGTGGTTGACGACTCACGAAAAAGCGGCTCTGAAGAAGGCGATACTGCCGAAACGTCAGCTAGCGTTGTATTGTGTTGTGTTTTTCTGGAAGTAAATGTATGCTGTTTAAAAACCTCGCGATTGCTGAACAGGAAAACGACACATTCATAACTTTTTATTTTTTAAAATTTTATACGACCTGTCATCACGTCTGCTGTGCGGATCCCAGCACTTCTCACATTTGATTCGTTCACCCGAATCCATCATACACGAAGGTCTTCCACCCTTTACGTGCCGCTTCGGCTGCTGATTGAAGGTTTTAATTTCATCCTGAATGTCGTAGAATTCTGGTGAAATCGGCTCTCCTGGAGATCTGAGATAGGCGGGTTAGAGAGTTCCCAACTAGATTGCAGGAAGTAAACTTTTCCCGGGCACGTCCGGTACCAATTTCACGGCCCTGGAAGAGTGATAGGCTTAGTGAGCCTGGGGCAAGATCGATCCAGTACCGGGCTCGTGGTTACCGGCATTACTACCGCTGTGCTATGCGCCCCTTAATGAACTAGCTACTAGCAACAAGTGCCTTATACATAGTGATATTGTAATAAGTATTATCCGAACACGATATAGACTTTAGCTTATTACTGAGACATCCAATTGCTCACTTGTTCGCTTTCGTTGATGGTCGTCGATCCGGATGAGGTCGGCTTCTGTGTCCTTCTCAGCGCGTTATTTTCGTCTTATGTATGAACTTCTTGGTTTTTAAAGGTTTTTTGTCTTATTATGTTTGAAACAAATATTCGAATACAAGTTCAAATATCATGGTTAGTTCTATCGCCTCAGCACTACCGAAGCAAACTCAAGCACTGCTGTTTTTAAGAATTCATGGAGTTGCATAAACAGAAAGAAATCTCTATGTTTCGGTGAAGTAGAAGCATTTCAGTCATGTAAAGACGAACAGATTCTTCTTGGTCTCATCGTTGCCGCCCTTCTACTGTTCATTTATTTTATGGCGTCATCGATTTTTCCAAGAACGAGAAGATTGCGCAATTGTAATTTCGTCAGTGTCGAGTTACCACCTGCGGTTCGTTGACTTTAACTTGCTTTCATAGTAGAAAGACTAAGTGGTTGTCCTTTCATCGTTCTCATAAAAGAATCCACTAAGGCTCGCCATTTTGAAAAACAATACCTATGCATAGCGCACGTAGTAGTCGTGCAGAGACAACGTATAATAGAGGATCACTTTGATTTGCAGTTGGTTGTGTGTAACTGTTCAGACGGCTCAAATTCGGCTATAAATCGACCGATATTCTTTTCTTCTTCAAGAAATGGATGGGAAATATGGAATTCCTGACCTGGCAGTGTGAATATTCGTACCGCTCATATCAATACCTCGCAGAACTTCCGAAGCGATTGGTTACATGGTCAGCTTAGTGCGTAAGATCGAACCAGTAGCCATGTCATCATCTACAACGGCGCATGTAGACTCTACGCTACAAGCACACTAATAGTTTACGGTTAACGGATAATCAATATAAAGCGTCCGGCGTCGATTGGTCCGTGAGGGATGCGCCATGCATTCGTCTTCATCGATCATCAATCAATGATTGAAAGCATGTTTGACCTGTTCGAGGGACTTCGGTGGTTACTGATGTGTCAGATCTGTGCTGCTATTATCCTAGACAAGTACCAATTTTCTGGCCCTGGAGGTGAAGAGTTTGTGAGTTCGAGGAGAGGGATCGAACCAGTTGCTTATGCAGTGTATGTGGCATCGAACCTCTAACCAATGCACTAAGCACACCCACATAATTTGCACTGCAAACATAAGATGTTGTGTTTTATAGTGAAAAATTACTGAATACAATATTTTACACTGAAATATTCCTGAAAATAGGTGGTGTTCGCTATTTCAAATGAGCAAGCATTCCGCTATATTCATATTCATTGTCATGATAAGGACACGCATGGTATGGTGTTGAACGCGTTAGCCCTGAAAATAGTATTACCGGATTCGATCCCCACCGCAGACACGTGCGGTCCGGAGTTTTCCAAATATCTCATCATCAGAGTATTTTTTCTATCACTTTTATAACAATTGTATTGCTATAGGTGTTTACCGGTAAAAATCTCACAGGAATTGGTTCTTCGTCATCTAAAATGCCAACATTACCGTCTTTATTTCTAACATCTGCCGAATTGAACACATTTTCCCATGAACCGCCCGCGCCACAAAGAGATATGCTGCTTACGGCGGAGGTATTCGTTGAATTTTTCTCATTTCGTTCTAGTTTTTCCCTTTATTTTTAATTTTTTATTTTTCAAGGAATGTCTCTTACTTCGTGCTGAAAGCAGAAGTGGGCATTATGTAAAAGGAAAAGAGTTAACGCTGTTCAAGTGGAAATACGGTGATTCACCTTTAGTAACAACCAATACGGCCACTAGAGAGTTCAGATCAGGGGTGAGTGTGACAGCAATGGAAGTACCTTCAGAAATCTCGTTTTTTCGGTTTATTTTTCAGCCATTATTGAATTTTGAATTTAAGTTGCCTCTATCTACTTATGTGAAATCGATTACCTGATAATGACAATGTTGTATAGGAACATCTGTTTAGTTATTATGCGGTTAAAACACTATGTATGGAGCATATTCTCAGAATCTCGGATGAAGAATGTCAGTGAAAAGTGCTATCAAGTACAACAAATGACTATGACAATGCGATTCGAATGTATTCAGAGAGCTTACTGTAGAGTTTTTTCCACGTGACTCTCCCTCACATCTACTGCGTCTATCTCAGCATTTCCTTCATTACGTTCGTTTCCTCGCATTCCTCAACCACGAAGGTCTTCCAACGATTCCCTTTTGGTTCGGCTGGTGCCTGAGGA